TGAGTACCCCATCCCCGGCCCTGCCACCCAGGCTCTGAGACGAGCATCGGCAGATGCATCATCATTCCCCGTGGGGTCTTGCCCCAGCAGGCACGGCCCTCCGTCCCCAGCACACCCACATGCCCCAGCCAGGGCCAGCTCTGCCCTGCCCAGGCGCAGGGATGGGTGCTGCCACTGCCCCAGCCACCCTTCGCATCCCAGCCGAGCGCCTTCCCCGGCCGCTGCCGCTGGCCCGGCACCGGCGGCACGAACCTTGCAGACTGATGTTATCGGGGTCCTGCTGGTTATCGAACAGGGGTGCGTAATCCCCAAAAAATTCGGAATAAGCCCCACCTTCGTCACCCCGCACGGAGCCCACTGAGGAAGCCGAGTGCAGGGATGCCTGTGACTGTGCCAGCTTGGAGCAGGTCATGAGGTTGCTGAGCTCCACCTGGGGCTTTGCTGGCATGACCACTTCAGCAAGGGGCTCCCCATTGGCCTCAGGCTTCAGGCCCAGCTCAGGGGCAGGTGGCTGCAGGGCATCCTTCTTGGACTCCTTCATGTCTGGAAGGAGAAGGGGGGTTGCCACTGGCCATGCCACCCTTCACAATGGTGTGGCATGGAGTGGTGACAGATCTGCAAACCCGGAGTGGAGCAAACCCGGCTGCTCTTGGCCAGGATGGGCTCCGCTGGAGACCACTCCTCCCCCTGGGAAAGGAGACTCCTGTGGCCATGTGCAAGGGGAGAGGAGCCACTAAGCCCATGCAGTCACGCAGCCCCTCACCAGCCCCAGCAGCACCGTGTGCCCTCACTGTGTCCATACCCACATCACTGTTCTCCAGAGACTGGTCCTCCTCAGACACCTTCAGGAAGACCTCCTCCAGCGTGGTGTCCATCAGCCCGAAACTGGTGAGGTCCAGCTCCTCCAGGCTCTGCTCCAAGTGCTGTGGAGGCAAAGTGCTGTGTGAGAAGGGCAAGAGATGCCGGCAGTGCCATGGCCACCCACAACCACCTGCCTGCCCACCCTGCCAGCTCCCCCGGGTACCTGGAAGAGCCTCTCGAAGCAGCCCTTCTTGACAGCCTCACTGGGCAAGATGTAGGAGAGCTCGGTGTTGGTGTCTGAGATGAGGAGGCAGGAGGCCACGTATTTCTTGATGAACTGGGAGACACGGGGCTCGGAGCAGGGGCTGACGGAGGAATGTGCCAGGGGACTGTGCGGCTGGCCTGGTTCTGCGGCAGAGGGGCAAGCACTCATCAGTCACTTCTCACCCAGCCTCCCACCAGGACCCACTATGTCCACATTACACCCTGCATCGCGGGGGCTCCTCCAGGCTCCATTGCTGGGTGCTGAAGGCTTCCCAGCCACCCTGCCTGGCCTGGGGACTGTGCTCTGCACCACGGCCCGTGCTGGATGTCTCAGTGGGCAGGCCAGACAGAATGAGCACCTGGAGGCAAATGCCACCACATGGGGTCCAACCCGGGACCCAGACAAGAGAAATGAAGGCTGAGCGATGCCACCTCCTACACCCCTGCCCTGTCCACCTCTGCCCTCCACATGGCCTAAAGGAGACTCAGGGTGGGAGCACTTGGGTGTTTGACCTCTTGGTCATTTCCTGGGCTGAAGAAGGGCTGGTACCATTTACTCCTCTAAACACGGGGTCCCACTGCCCCCCAGACCTGTGCCATTCCTGGTGTCCGACTGCTTCTTCACCACCGTCAGCTTGTAGCCGTCGCCATAGGTGCTCTTGAGGAAGAGTGGAGAGCCGCAGCACTTAAGCTTGCCGTGGGAGATGATGGCGATACGGTCACCCAGTAGGTCAGCCTCATCCATGTGATGCGTGGAGAGCAGGATGGTCCTCCCTGACAGTGGCACAGAGCCTCATCAGAGAGGCCAGGGCCACGCCAGCCAGAGGAGCAATGCTGGGCTCTGCCCACCTCTGCTCACCTGGCTTGTACTTGAGGATCAGGTCCCAGATGGCCCTGCGTGCATATGGGTCCACGCCAGCCGTGGGCTCATCCAAGATCACAGCCCGCGACCCACCCACAAATGCAATGGCCACCGACAGCTTCCTCTTCATGCCCCCAGAGAGGGTCTGCACCAGGGAGTGGCGTTTGTTGGAGAGTTCCAGGTCCTCAATCATCCTGGGGACAGGGGAGAAGCACCAGGGATGCTCGGTGCCTGCAGGGAGCACATGATGCCTCTTCCCTGCGTGGTACCTATGGCTCTCAGCTGCTGGGACAGCCCAGCTGCAGACAGACTACAGAAGCATCTTCTGCTGGCTTCCACAGCCTGATACCCCAAGTTTTGAAAAACACTTGGTGGAGCTGCTCCAGGGGACATCTCTGCTCTCAGATCACCCATCACAGTACAACCAGCCAGAAGGGGACCCACTCATGCAAAAGGCATGGATTGGGCAAAAGGAGCTGAGGGGGGTGCCTACTTGTCCATTTCCTTGCGGATCTCTTCCTCTGCCATGCTCTTGAGCTGCGAGTAGAACCAGAGGTGCTCCTCCACTGTCAGCCTGTCGAAGAGCACGTTGTGCTGGGGACACATGCCCAGGTTCTTCCGGATCTTGCCCATCTCTGTCCGGATATCGTGGCCGTAGATGGTGGCGGAGCCCGAGGTTGGAGGGAACAAACCGGTGAGGATGGACCTGGATGAATGGAGAAAGGCAACAACATGAGGGACCTCGTATTCCCCCATCTGGTCCCAATCCCAACTACCACCTCCAGAAGCATCTGCTGGGCCCCAGCCATGCACCCACTGCCTGTCCCCCTTTTGTGCCAGCCCCACATCCACACTGCTGCCCTCTGGGCATGGCACCAGATGCCACAGGGCCCTGCAAGGACATCATGCAGCACCTTCCCCACCTACTACAGCACCAGGACACGGCCCATGTCTGCCCTGACGGGTACTCACATGGTGGTTGTTTTGCCTGCGCCATTGTGGCCCAGGAAGGACACCACCTGGTTCTCGTAGAGGTTGAGGCTCAGCTTGTTCAGCGCCAACTTCTTGTCTGTCTTGTAGACCTTGGTGAGCTTGTCAATGCAGACGACCAATGGGAGGTGGGTCGGCTCCTCCTCGATGCCCCGTGTCTCCTCTGCCGCGAGAGTGGGATGGTGAGGAGCCGGGGGTGGCAGGGAGGCCAGGCTTGGAGCAGGGCTCCCCAGGGGATGAACCTCCCCGCCTCCATCCCACAGTGGCTGTGCTGGCTCATGGACCTCCCCCTCTGCTTCTCACCAGCTTGCCCCCTCCTGCACCATAGGCAGCAGCTCCCAGACAAGCAGCAGCGCTCGGCCCAGGATTCTACGCCAACAAGGGCACAGAAGAGACACAGGGGTCCATGCAGGACCCTGCAGCAGAGCCAGGGCCATCCCTGGGGCATGCCCTGCTACCTCTGTCTGCCCTCACCCAGCCTCCGGCTCTCCAAGGCACAGGCCTGATCCTCCTCCATGATGCTGAGGCGGGTAGTGCGGGACCAGGGCCAGGTCCACTCCCAGGTCTCCACTCGCCCGTTGCCCAGCCAGTAGGACTTCTGGAAGGGGAAGTACCAGGGCCGCGGCAAGCCGAACATGCCTGCAAGTACAACCCCTGTGGAGTCAGGGCCAACTCTACACCCATGTCCGTGCAGAAGCCGGCTGAGAGCCAGGGCAGAACTTGGTACAGGTACAGACATGGGCATGAGCTTGTCCCCAGCTCAGGGACATCACTTCAGGGTGGGGGCTGCAAGTGCCCTGGCCAGCTGGGCTCAGGGTAACACTGCTGGGCTGTGCAAGGAAGCTACGTCCTTTGGGCTTTGGGTTGGACCTGGCTCATGCTTTGGTTTTACTTAGGAAAGCAAAGGAAGCAGGTGAGAATCCTCCCCAGGCAGGCAATAACGGGGAACAGTGCTCCAGCCACAGACACCTGCTTTGCTACAGCTGGCCAATGAATGAGACACGTGACTGAAGATCTCCAAGGAACCTGCTGGTGTCACCAGCGGGTCAGGGCATGTGGGCAGGTATCCGCAACAGGGATTTTGTTGTGGTTTGTGGACAACAAAACGTTGTGCCAAATCCCACCATGACAGGGCTGAGCACTGCCAGGAACCAGCAGTGCCCCCAGAAAGGAGGCTCCCACAAGATCAGAGATGCCCTCATGCCTCACTGCGCACACATACCTGGGTGCACGGCCTCAATGTACCATGTGAGAACCCCGTATACCACGGCATCCACAATCAGCATCATCATGGACAACAGGAGGTTGAAGTCATCTCCTTCCACAGGTGACTGGCTAAAAGTGTGCCACTGGATGCCCACACCGGCCACCTCGTACAGCGCAAAGTACTTGGATCCGAGCCCAAAGGCTGTGGTGGACATGAGGGACTATGGAGAGGTGGAGGGAAGGGAAGGGTACATCAGAAGGAACCACACGCCAGCTCCAGAGGAACAGGTTGGGGCGAATTCCTACCTGGTGCTGCCTCACCCAGCCCCATGGAGATGCTCCCAGCCCGGGAAGGCACCAAACCTTCTGGAGATGCCTCCAAAGCCCCATGGGGAGTTGGTTCATATATAGCCAGAGGTTTGCCCAGGGCCTGGTGACAGCTTGGTGGCCTGTGTACTGGACATGGGGTGCCTGGGGCAAACCTGGGGCCAAGCACCTCCCCAGCAGCCACAGCCAACTCACCGCGATGCACTTCTCAAAGGCCGTGATCTTGTCATGCGCCACCTCCTCCCGGATGGCCACGTACATGTAGGGCACATAGCTGAGGAAATAGATGATGCCGCCGCAGGCAGAGGCCAGCTTGGCCTTGGAGTAGAGCACCGACACCAGGAAGCTGCAGGAAGAACAGCATCACCTCAGATCCTACCCCGCCAAGGCTTTCCCCACAGTGTCTGATGTTGGCAGTGTTGAGGTGATAAACTGGCCCTTCAGCTGGCTGGGGAGACTTGTGCCCCTCCACCGGCCCTTGCCCACACTGCTCCCAGCACCCTTGCCCCATGGCACAAGGATCCTGGCCCTGCCCGTGCCCCCCTCACCCCATGGAGTGGACCAGGCATCTCACCAGAACATGATGGTGGCCACTGCATAGATGGCAAGAAAGAGCCAGATGATGAGGACATCGCTGTGCATCAGGACCTTGCCGTACTTCAGGATGGCAGTGAGCGCTGTGACCGAGATGGAGAGCTGGACGAAGCCGGTGATGAACCAAGCCACCCAATGCACTGCATTGTTCAAGCCCATCATCTTCATCACCTGCAAGGCCAAAACTGCTCAGCAGGGCTGTCCCCTATCTTGTGCATCCCTGCTGCCTCACTCGCTGGGGCTGGGAGAGCAAGGGACAGCACTGAGGGATCACCCGGGGCTGCAGGGAGCAGGCAGGCCACAGCACCCTGTGCCAGGGTGCCAATGGGCTCAGCTGTGGACACTCAGAAGGACCAGCTCAGCCCATGGATGTGGGATCTGCACCCACCTCAGTTCACGCACCCCAGAGACATGGGGAAGATGCCCAGGGATGCAGTGCAAAACAGGGCTCAGAGATGCCAGCTCCTCCCCAGGGATCTCTCCCACCATCCCCACCTCTTTCAGGCGATGCTCCTTCTCTGTCACAATGTGCTGGATCATCATGGCCACTGAGTAGACCCAGGAGATCACCATGCACAGGGGCATCATGTGCTCAATGACGAAGAGGAAGCTGGTGGGGTACAGGAAGAGAGGGGAGAGCTGGATGGTGGCACCACCGGAGACCTGGGGACACCCTGGGGCACAGGGCAGCAGAGGAGCTCTCCCACCACCCAGGGACAAACCAGCCCTCCAGTCCAGCAACTCCTTAGTGTCCTAAAAGAGCTTCTCCAATGAGCCCATAGGATGATCTAGTGTCCTGAGTGTCCTGGCTGTCAGGTCCCAGCAGGCAGGTGGGCAGCAGCCATGTGCTTGGCCCAGTGCCTTGCCTACCCTGGTGTGAAGGGGGCCCTAACCACACTCCTACCCTGGAGGGCTGGTGGCTCTGGGATTTCTCCGGGTGCTTCCACCAGACCACTGTGGTCAATAACCACCAACAGACTCATGTGCCATCTATTTGCCACACCCCTCTTGTTCTACCCAAGTCTTTCAGCCTCCAAGCACCCCGTAGCCATGAGTTCCTCACTTCAGCTGCGAACTGAAGTTCCGCTCCTTCCCCTGCTTGCCTAGCCTGGTGGTCCAAGGAACATGGCTTAACTGGTTGCTCATCACTCTCAATGTCACCAACCTCTCTCAGGCCCCCAGACTTATCCCCTTTTCACAGCTGAAGTGTCCTGGCCTGCAAAGGGGAAGAGGGAAGGCCCTGCCCCTGCGCATGTGGGTGTCACTCACTCATCCCGGGTGTAACATGGGTATGGGAACATCTGCACGTAGTTGCCCGGCTCCACCACATCATGGCCAACAAATGTGTTGATAAGGGCACGCTCCATCATGTCTGGGGAAGAGGAGGAGAGGACAAGCTGAGCAGGCAGGGGCCAGGGACATGGGCAGCTGTTGCAGAGAGCTGACACTCACCCTGGATCCAGACGAAGCCATAGAGGAAGTAGAAGCGGCCACCGGTGTTGGGGCCGGGCCGCCAGTATGCCCGCCGGATCTCATTGGTCTTCTCCGTGAAGCTGGAATTCTGCCGGATCTTGTACATGACATGGGGGGGCAGCGAGCCGTCCCTGTTGGTCTGGAAGATGACGCCTGTGGGCAACAGGAGAGTCAGGGAGCCCGCTGGCACCACAAGATGGCCACACCGGCGGGCATGGACATGGAGGGGTTCAGCATGTCCCAGCCAAGGGCACCACAAGGGCTGCCATGGATGAGAAGGGTGGGCATGGCCCTGGCATGGGATGCAAGGGCACGTGGACAGCTGGCAGCAGTGGTGGGAGAGCCAGGACAGTGGCAGGGTTCTGCATCCAGCAGGGCTTGGCCAGGGGCCATGGGTACTGCAAGATGCTCGGTCCGCTCATCCACCCAGTGCATGCACCAAGGGAGCCATGTCTCAAAGCCAGTGGCCCCAGCCAGGGGCACAGCCAGAGAAGGACATGGCTTCAGGGACTGCTGTGAAGGGGCTGGTTCCCAGGGACATACTGGCAAAGACCGTGACGTTGTCCTGGTAGGCCTGGTTCAGTGTGTAGTTGACGATGCTCTCCTCATCTGGGAAGCCTTTGAAGACGTCCACGCTGACCTAATGGGAGGGAAAGGCCAGTGAGACCCCACTGCCCCCAATGAGTCTAGCATGCAGGCCCTGCCCATGGTGCAGCATGTGCCACCCACAGCCACCCTGTGAACCCCTGAACCCAATGGTGGATGGGCACCTCCACCATTGACATCCACCCCAAAGCGCTGGATGCTGCAAAAGCCACTATCTCCGCCAGGGCTCCCATCCCATGGCCTTAAGGAGGACTTAGTAGACCTGACCCCTCGTCAGCCCCACAGAGCCCACAGAGCAGGCGGTGGGTGCCACTCCAGCATCCATGTTCCCACAGGCAGGCACAACCTCACCTTGGCCATGAAGTGGACCCAGCCGCAGGCAGCATTGTCGATGGTGTCCAGCTGCTGGAGCAGGACGCTGGCGTTGGGCAGGGAGAAGTTGCCATTGAGGAAGTTGTGGAGAACATCGCTGTCAGAGACGTTCAGGATCTCCGGGTGCTTGTGGAGGTCAGCAGTGAACTGGGACAGAGGGGGAGACATGGGAGGGAGAAGTTAGGGTATTGCCTGCCTGGCAGCCCCCAGTCCTCTCTATGGACAGAGACAGGACCCAACACTCCTGGTGATGGGGGAACAGCATCCACCCTGCACAGGGAAACAGCCTGGTCCTTGCAAGAGCAGAGTGGGCACCCAGCTTCACATGAAGAAGCTATGAGGTGCCTGGAGGCAGGAAACCCCCTTCCCACCCCCAGGGCAGTAAAGCCCAGGCAGGCTCGGCCCCCACTGTGCTATCCTACCTGCTGGAGCCAGCGGATGCGCCTCTGCAGCCTGCCGTCCTCCAAGTAGGCACGGATCTCGGGGGAGATGTTCAGCCATGCCTTGGCATAGTGGGTGACGTTGCCCACAAAGGCGAAGGTCTCATTGGCCTGGGGGGGGAAGGTCACACAACAGGAAGAGGCAGGGGCCCCCCTGCTCTCTGGGTTGGCTAGCAGCCATGGAGGTATCTGCCCACCTGCCAGCAGGCATTGCTACCCCAAGGGCCAGGGCAGTTGCCTGCTTCTGGCAGCACTGGCGGGCAGCTGGCCCCCTCCTCCCCGCTCAGCCCTGAGTCTGTGTGGGCAAGGAGGTCCCTGCAGAGTGGGGCTGGTGGGAGAGGAAGGATGGCTGTCCCAGCCTCTGCACCCTCACCTTCAGGATGACCTTGTCTACTTCAGTGCCAACGGGTGCATACAGGATTTTGGGGTTGCTCGTCATCAGATGCACAAGGAGGCCCAGGTTTCGCTGTTCCTTGCTGGTGAAGCCCAGCGAGCTCATGTTGCCCTGCTTCAGCGCCTCAGGCTCGATCGTCCTGCAAAGGGGACTCAGGCTGTCAACTCCACTCCAGCCCCAGCACCCCTCACTGTGGGCAGACCCCACCCCTGCCCATGAGGGGATTTCGCACTAACTCCTGTGCCAGCATAGCGCTGCCCAGCACAGGGAGCTTCCCCTGGCTGTGGCACAAGGTTGTGGTGCAGCATCCATCTCCTGGGTGCTCATCAAGGGATGACTGGGGCCCTTGACTGCTGGCAGAGGCAAGGTGGGCTCTCCCACACTCCTGTCCTGACCAGAGAGAACCTGGATCTAGCCCCCTCCATCACCCAGGGCTCCTACCGGTTGTTGCCGCAGAGGATGGGCTGCAGCCCAGCCCAGAGCTGCACAAATGCTGAGAACTGCCCCTGGGGGTTGTCACCGCCGGCCAGGTCCCCCCTGGCACCCTCCTCCTCCGCTGTGGCATTGCTGCCCGTGGCATTGGTGCTGGCCCAGCTGGTGCTGTTGGCAGTGGGCAGTGGGGCCTTGCTGGCACAGGCTCCCCTGGGCAGCAGCTTGGCCAGCGCCGAGAGGATGTTCAAGTCATGGAGAATCTTCTGCATCTCCACCATGTCCTCCAGGAGGGTGCGGAGGTGGTGCTGGGCGGCTGTGCTGTTCACCTCATCCAGCTTCAGCTGCAAGGACAAATGGGCAAGGGGTTACCCATGGCTGGAGTGACAGGGCCCTCCTCACCAGTGGGAGGGGACCAAGGGGGACCCCAAGCAGTGGCATGTCTGCTTTCTTGTCTTGTTGGGGGACACGAGGCAGAAAGGGTGGTCCTATATGACTGTGAGGGACATGTCAGACTTGGCTGGGATGAAGAGGGGGACCTCACAGCCAGACTTGAGGAGCTGTGCCACCAGGGACATTGCCAGTCCTGAGGAGAGGAGCCTTCAGGAACATG